CGAGCTAGGAACACAGGTGTAACAGTGATATTGATCATGCCTCAACTAGAATGTAGTGAGCAGAATCTCAGCTCTTCCTCACCTAGTTTTTCTGCCTGGAAATGCGAACATTTGCCAATGTAATGTTCGAGGTAAGAGAATGACAGAAGCTTGAAATCAAGTTTCCTTAAATCCAGCAGCTTTGATGTACTTTGTGGATGGAACCAAGTGCAATGTATCTCTCTCATGACAGTGACATGCATTGCCTTATCTCAGGATCAAAAGCATAACTGTGCTAACATGCCTTATCCTTTTTTTTTTTTTCCTACTAGACTAAGTGTAAAGATTAACTTGATGAAAGCCACTTAGGGTGGTTCTGCAAGTCAAGTATTTCAGATAAATGCAGGGAGAAAGTCAAACTACCCCAACAGAGCCCATCTCTGTGTACATCCAGCATTAAGTAATCATATTCAGACATCAACTTTTCATACAGTTGGTTCAGGTTGTTCCCAAGTCTTTGAGTTTCACTTTCAGTTTCAGGTTCCAATGAATCCAAAATGATGAAACTGAGACTTGAATTGAAATCTGAGCATTTTGATGGACAAGTGCACAAGTCTAAAATGACCAGGCAGCCAGTTGTTACATGTCATTACTGAGCCAAAGGTAAAACTCCTATTTGTGCAGTAGCAGCAGAAGCTATTTCAGAAATTGGCAAAATAGTCACAAACTGTATACGTTTTGCATGAAGTGTAGTTGAGGATGTTGGTTTTGAACCCTAAGTTACCAAAGTATTTTATAGGATTAATTAGGACTATAGTTAACACTTGCAAGACAATGGAAAATTGCATGATACTTGGCATGTTTGGACATAAGAAAATGCCATAGTAGAGCAAAGATTTCAGGGTGCAAAATCACATTAGTAAGAGTTTTAAAATATCCATTAACTTCTTTCAAATAACGTGACGTTTTAGAGGATAGGCATTGTGATTGTAGTTACGCACTGGTAAACTGGCAGGGTAGAAATTATAGGAAGAGAAATGTTACTATTTTATTTTAAAAATTCAGTTGAAAAATGTTGCTGAAAAAGTACGTAAAATCTGTCAGCATTAAAAAAAAATCAGTGTGTTTCTCCATATGGAATTACATATTCTTAAAGGACATAGCTTTATTATATATGTGTGTGTGTATGCGTATATGTATACATAGCGGGAATTGTTAAGTATTAGTGGAAAAAATCACAGGACTTTCTTTCAAATGCTAGTCCAGAAGATCATCCATTATTTCGTACATACAATTTTTATATAATTTAAATTAAAAATGGAAAAGAAATTTAAAAGAAAAAAAAAGCATTTTTCGTATATCTCACAGTGGAAAGACAAAGGACACAGAAGGTGTCACAGAAAGGACTTCACATGTCCCTTTGCTCATATATATCTTGAATTCTTAGCCATCTAGGGTCACTGTTGTACTGAGATTTCCAAACCGTCTCCTGCTTTGGGAAAGCTATCCTGCAGTGCAATACTGACATGATTTAGTGTCTTGGTGCATACCCAGCACCTGATACAACCATTGTGTTCCTTAGCCTTATACTCCTGATTATCTTTCTTTTTTAATAACATTCACTTATTAGATATCTTTCCTAGCACAATATGTATTTTGACACGGTATTTAAAATAGATTTTTTTTTTTTAAAGTTATTTTGGTTTATGCAGACAGTATATAGAATATACAAATTCTGTTTAACTGAAAATAATTTTTTATGAAGTATTTACATTAGTGGACATACCAAAGTAAGCTGATGGTGGAAAGCCAGGGTTGGGAGGAAGAGGAGTGTTAAACAGCTTGTAAGCCTCTACAGAAAATGAGTCAAATGTTTTCAAAACTTATGTTTTCAATAAGAGTTAAAAATGGACAAACAAAATGATACATTGTGATACTTTAAAAATAATTAATTTGTTGTAATCGCACATCTAAGAAATTATTGAAATGCCTTGAATCTAATTTAATGGTTGTAAAATTATTTACTGATGAAAATTGCCTATTTTATGTGCTGGTGAGAAAAAAAATGCTAAGATATTTCTTGGGAAGGCAAAAGGTTTGTCTCTAGCTTTCTGTTAACACTTTGCATGATAATAGAAGACAAACTTCATGCTACAGGCAAAACATTGATTTTAGTGAGAATGCTACTTGTTGCTTTAAGAGCTAGGCAACAAACAATGGGGGGAAGATTTACATAATTTTTTCTAAATGTAATAAAATAATATTTTAAAAGGCATAAAACAAACTGGTAAAAGTTGCTTCTGGCAGTGAACTGCAGTGACTTATTTCATTAACTTTAAAAACAGTAGGTTTCCTTTATCAAAAGGGTAGATGAGTGTGAATTTGGGATTTTTGTATCCTGCCACATTTTCACAGATTATCTCATTTCCCTGCATTTCACATCTGTCTTCCCTTTTGATCTGTATCACAACCACTGCTCTGCTCACGATGGGGGCCTGAGTGCGCTTCCTTCTGCAGCAGTCCAGGGCTACACCGTGCTCAGGTTGTGTCAACAACCAGGCGAGCCACCTCTCTGCAGCGTTCCCAGCTCCTGTGAGCTGAGACACCAAAACCAGAAATATACACTTCTGGCAAAATCTCCGGTGGTGTAATTTGGCGATGACCCACTGGTTCCATGGAGCTATATTAGTGTGCATCAGTGGAGAAGCTGAACCTTGAACTCTAAAAAAAAAAACAAACCCAAAGCCAAACAATTTTTTATTGTGTTTAAGAAACACAGCCTTTGGATTTTGGAGCCAGTAGGAAAAATTACTATGCATTAGTTGAGTAATTCTTTATTCTTTCATGAGTTATTAGGTTCAGTTTTCACGGGTAAGAGAATAAAAGCTGAAAACATTGCTTCTCCCAAAAAAAGGTGACATACAGTGTTGATGCAGACCCCCCACCTTGCCGTGCCTCAACCTGACCATGTTGCCTGACCTGAAGATCCAGGTCTGGGCGCCTCAGAGAGAGCCCAGGCTTCCCAGGGAGGAGGGTGAAGCCTGCTGACAGCATGAGTCCCAAAGCAAGCTGTAGCCTGTCAACTCGTAAGTTCCAGGTTTTCAGCCAGATACTAGTGTCCATTTTCAAATCTCACTGATCCTGACTAACCCTTAAGCATGGAGAAATGAATGATCTGGAACTCATAAAGCACCCAATCCACCATGTTTATAACTCTTATGTATGCTGATACGCATGTACTCTTACAAAGGGGGTTCTGAAGTATTGCATTACATGGGCCTTTTGATTGGGTTCGTTTGCAAGAAAACAAACTCATGTTTCTTTGATTTTTTTCTAAAAATGCATGTATTATTTTTCCAAATTTAGATATATTTTACTAGCTGATTTTCTACTGGAGGTAAGGCATAACTGTTACCATGTAGCTAGTTCTCAAATCCCAAATTTTAGTGGTAAAACAGAACCCAGACTTAAGTACCACAGTCTAGGATGTGAATATAAAAAAAAAAAATGTATAGACCATATTTATCAGGAAAACTAAAGCTTAATCGGAATCTTGTGTTCAAACTACTGTGCTTTTTACTTTTGGTTTTATGTAATCAAGGCCACTTGCTTTTTACCGTTACTTACAATTTTTTTAAGCTCTAGCTACAAGTTTTCACTAGATGGCAGGGTTCCACTGTTATCTATTATCAGTGGCTTTACTTGCAAAGCAACAGTTGCCCATCGGCAGGAAAAAAATTTAAACGTGTTCAAATTTTGCAAAATATAAAAAAAAGCAAAAAACTTAACAGTAATGAGAAAAATTGTAAATACACTCAATAAATCATAGCTCTATTACTGAATATGGTTAATATTATGGGCTGGAAATAATTGAAAATAATAGTGAACGATGTTCTTTTCTTGACAGAGGAACTAAAAGAACCTTCTTCTATACAATGAGGTAGACTTACTGTTTCTAAATTTAACTAAATTTAACTAATTACTATATTGACAGGTTAAGAAAGTTAGAGCTGAAGTAGCTGAACTATTGATACAAAATACTGTATCAAAGTACAAAAACCTTAACACTTAATGTACTGGTTTACCTAGCTACAAAAAGGGGATAAGATACATTTTAATCTCTCTCCCTCAATTTAACAAGGCAGAATTCATTGTATGATGATCATTCCCAGTATCATTTCAGCCAGTAATATTTTGCTGACCTCAGAGCACTGGACAAAATTTGTCCCTCTTGTCTAGGAGAACAGAACGAAGCTCCATACACTTACATAAACCTTAATAACTGGGACAAATCGTCATTGTTGCAGCAGTGGAGAAGCTGTTGCCATGGAGTGAGCACTGATTTTTAATGAAACGACTTTTTAACTATTATTTTTGCAACTTGGGGTTACCAGTTCTTATTTTTCATGTATTCTGAATTTCTACTGTCTGTTTTGCTCTCATTTTATACATGAAAATAATTTATGAAGTGTTCAGTAATTTTCAGTGTTGCTCATGAAATATAAGAGGGAATGTTTGGCATCTATTAAAGCTGCTTCTAAGACTGGATAACTTTCCAAAACCAGAGATAACTCAGTGTAATGCTTTCCAGGATACCCAAAATAGTAAGAACATTTTCTCATGATAAAGCTGTATTTATTCTATGCCTAGAGTAGAAAAAGTATCATAAATAGATGACTAAAACAGCATTTCCTAATATGAGATTCATTTTTGCAATATGCCGAGTGCATGCAAAAACATACAGCAAGTCAAATAGAAACTGAAAAGCATACATCATTTCACAATTTCAAACCTTTAACTTTTAAGGAAATGTTGGCAGTACTTGCAAGCTACCAAAAAGTAATCATTCCATTTTATTGAAACAAACATAATCAGCACCTGTAGAATCTCTGCAAAACGTGTTAGCAAATTCAAACAAGCATCCCACCAACCATTTCACTGGAAGAAGTATATATTAAACAGACTATTTTCCTCAGCCGTGTTCACAAAACACCAATAACATCTTTCTCTCGTGTTCCTACCTTGGCGATTTGCAAAGGCTGCTTTTGCTCCTTGCCACCTTGCAGTCTAAAGCCCCAAGGCGCCCCTCCGCTCATAGCAATGCAGAGATAATCCCCTGTGCCCATTTTCCCGGTGCAGTTAGGCAGCATTCATTTACAGAACATGAAAAATTTGTCTTGCAGATGTTCAGCGAGCCGGAGATTTGTCTGCCAGGCAGAGCTGGAGACCCAGAGCACCACACTGTTGCTGCTGCTGTGTACTGCACTAGCAAATGTAGTCATTCAGAAGAATGTAAGAGCTCCCTCGGATCAAGGGCACAGCCCACTCTTTCGTCAGATTTCTATGCTCAGCCCACCTTCAAAGTCAAGTAAGTAACGTTGAGGAAATGCACACAAAGAGACTCAGCCATGAGGCAAAAAAGGCTGTGTTTAAACATGACTCTCATGACAGCTAAATTAAAACAACAGCAAAAAGAAGTGTACATTTCCCAGTGACAATTTAGGGAGTAAGTTTACTTTAGTAAATGGTGCCATATGTTTTAAACTCTGACTTACCCTTTTTTTGCATTCATACTCCAAACAAAGAAGAAAGCAGAATCATGTACATCCTCTGAATTACTGATACACTTAGTTTGAACTAGGTATATGATTTTCATCTCTACTCTGTGTGCACTTTCTGCAGCACTGCAGGAAGGAAAAAAAAAAAAAAGAAGAAAAGTTTTATAATTTCCATGTCTTGGAATTGTTTCTTTCACTGGTTCTCTGTAACCTCAGTATATTTTAACATGCACTGCTATTTAGCAATGACTTAAATTATTATTGGACCCTAATAATGCCTGTTCTTATGCAGCCTGTTGCCTTTCCTACCAGAAAGGGGAAGAGGGTTAGTGGAATGAGGTATCAAATCTCTCTACTGATGCTATCAGTGGATGATTTGCATTATGTCATTAAAGCAGAACCTTACTATAAACATGGAAAAAAAAAAAAAGATTCAGTGGGAAGTTAGTTTGACAGTGCTTTACAAGACCTGGGTTCACTTCTGTTCCCCATTTCTGACTTGGGTTAATGCAGACTGTAAACAGCTGAGCTCCTGCAGGTCTAGTTGGAGTGGTTTAAGAGATGACTGTTCTTCAGCAAGGGATGAATATTCCCCTAGCTGAGTATTAACAAGTGATGGCGTAAGCACTCGCCTCAGCACAAAGTCAGTTAGCTTGGCTAAAATCACATTGCGTTTTGAATTAAGCGGTTCTATAGGAGAGCGTTCAGCAGATGGGCAGAACAGCAAGACTGTTTTCCAAAACAAACACCTCTTGCTTTGAGACCCAGGTTGCTGGGGGTTGATGTCAGATTCCCACAGCCTAAGTTCCACTGAGGTCCCTGTATGAAATGTTTTCGGTTGGCTTGTTCCAGGTCTTCAGAGATGTCAGAGCAACATTTGCATTGAAGTTACACGACTTTGCATCTACGGAGCTGGTAACTGTTGAGGCTTTACATCTCAGCCTTTGTCTTTGAAGAGCATTAGGCAAAATAGCAAAGTAGAGACAGGCTCTTCTGTTAAACCAAAATACTGCATTTGGAAAAAGTGGACAGGCTTTTAGGCACTTAAGTCCTTCATCAGTCCTCTGAAGGCACTAAGTTAACCCAAAGACTGGGTGAAGACAAGGTCCCCAGTCAAACAGAGGCAAATGTCACTCTCTAAATATCAGGATGTAATGGGAGGAAGAGTGCTTTCTTTATTGACTGTAACAGCACAGATTGCCATAAAATTAAATACTCAAGGACAAGACTATTAGAGAAGGCATACTCAGAAAGGGAATGGTCTTTAAAGGAAATTTGCTAGACAATCTCTGAGTGAAGGCGCCTCATTTGAAATAACGCAGTTCAAGGTGTCTAACTGCTTCCTATTATCTTGTGCAATGTTGATTTGTTGCTATAGCAGACAGTTTTTTAGTCTTTCCTAAGGCAGAATCTTGCTTTAGATAAAATTCTCTCCCTTCTGCTTAATGATGCACATTTTTATAGATACTTTTATGATAATAAAATTCTTAAGTATATAGCTGCAAAAAATACCTTATGAGACTCTGGTAAATACAAATTTAAAAAAATAAGGAAAACATATCACATAATTATCAGCCCTTCAAATTGTGTACATTTATGATGAAATTTATTTGATTAATTAATATTAGGGTGTTTTGAGCTTGTATTAGGGTCTCTTTTATCATTTTGGTAAAAAGGAATAGTCAAAACTGATCTCTGTTTCTGAACTTCTTCATATACTTATTTGAGGAAAAAATTAGTGAGAAACACCTCTGCATTTGGATGGTCATCTATTTGATGGGAATTTGTACTAGATATAGAAGCTTCTATCTGCTTGGGCTGTATAACAGAACTGTCTAAGATCACAAACCAGAACAATCTTATTACTCATTGCTCAGCTGAAAAAATAACCAGGACACCAGGATCTGTTTGATTTTGTTATATGAGATAGATGAAATGTCTCTGTACAGCTGCTGAAGTATCAGTAGTTGGTGTTTCTTGAAGTTAATTCCCTACCATCTATTTGACGTTCTTCAGGCAAAAAAGCAGAGAAGCACTTTACATTTGATTGTGTCATAGCAAAAGGCATAGCAAAATCATGCCAATGGTTTTGGCTAAAGTCACTGTGTAAAACAGTGAAGAAATTTCTCTTAAAAGCGAAATTAAGAGTTGTCTACAACATTGTGAGCTAGTTTTTTGGATCCTTAAAGGTGAATAGTTTAGTGTTTGTTTAATATTCTACTGGCTTCTAATATGTGAAATCTATATGGTGCTCTAGAAGTTAAATCATCTTGTGGTAGTAATGGCAAAATATCATTGGTGCCTTTAGATTTCTGCTCTCCAAAGAAAAAATCTTTTTTCTTCTGATGAGTTTGTATATGTATTGTGTAGTACTAAATACTCCAGAACAAGTTGTGAAAAGAATGTAATATTTAAAAACAAACAAACCAATCAAATCCAAAATCTTTAAACTAAGTGTAACTGCCCTGGTTTGAGGTAACCCAGTATAATGACGAAGCTTTGTGGACATTTAAACCTGGTACATTTAAACTGATATAGGCCTCTTTGCTTGAACTGGCAAGAACTGACAGAAGAACAAAGATAGGAAAAATAGCTTTTTTCCAGTCAGTTTGTTGTAGGGGGTTTATAATAACAATTCCAAACAAATTGCTGATTTTTTTTCTTCTGAGAGAGAATTTGTTTCTTGTTCCATGGTAAGAAAAACATTTGAAGTCTGTAACTAAATTATTCCCATGATCGAGAGACTCAAAACGTCCTATGTCCTAATCTAACAAATAATACTCCATAGGCATTAACAACTCCCATTTGCCTTATATGACTTTCTTAAATGCTTATGCCGCTGCATATCTTGCTTTTTAGTACAAGTCTTATCTTGTTGAACATTCTCTGCATCCTTTGGGATTTCTAAATGCTGGTCAGAAACTGGACATCATGATAAAAGTGGAGTCATTCATGGGGTTTATGACACTTTGGTCTCTGTGTTTTCTATAGCATAAATAAATTGCATAAATACTGAGATGGTTTTGGAAATCCACTGAAAAATTTAAAACTAATGGCAACCACAGCCACTTAACCACTGCCACCATCTCCATCTTTTCACTAAAATCTAAAGATCCAATTCTAGGCAACAAATGATAAAAATAACTTCATAAATTCAGCAAATTATAAAATGCCAGAACTCACCTAAAATCTATCTGTGCCCAAATACAGGTAAAGCTTTGGGTTGAACCTGATCTTCTATGATGATTTCTGTAGGAAAAAATTTCTAGATCAAACCCCTACTTGCTTATCTGCTTTCAAGAACTGCCAATTTAAAAATCTAGCATATTAGCCTTGATGAGCTATGATAAACTAAGAATATCCATACTTAGACCAAAGTGAGGCCACCTAACTTAAAATGCTGCCTTTGATAGTGAGTGGAAAATGGTTGCTTAAGGAAAAGTATAAGAATATGGGAAATGTATGGTACTTTCCTTGGGTGGCCTCCAGTGACTTCCACTCAAAAACTTCCTCAGCTGGATGCAGTTCCTCTGTACTTAGTAACAGTTATGAATTTCTCTTCCATGAATTTTGCCATGTGGTTTCCTCTTGAGCCCACATAACTTTTAGAATCTATAGCTTATGGTAGGAAGTCATCCTTAACTACATTGTGACATAAAAAAATCACCTTTTCTTCTTTTAACCTGGATCCTACAGATTTATTTGATGTCCCCCGCTTCATGGATCAGAAGAAACTATGACCAAGCAAACCCCAGATACACTTTCCAGGCACTTATTTTATATACCTCTTAAATACCCATCTCAGTCATCTTTTTTCAAGGGATGAAGAATGGAATAATTAGTCATTCTTTATACAGAAGCTGCCTCATACCTTCCATTATAGTCCTCATACCATCCTCTCTAGTTCTATATCCTTTTTCAGATGGAGGCCTGGAAAGCCACACAGTCTTCAGACTGCAAACAAAGTTGGGATTTATACAGTAACATGATGATATCATCTATTTTTTTCTCTTGTTGCAACATTGCTAACACCGGATTTGCTTTTTCAGATGCTGCTGAGTTGATGTTTTCATGGAACAATCTTTTAAGATCTTAAAACCTTGTCTGATGATAGTCAGTTCAAAGCTCATTGTTTTATTTGTGAATTAATGGATTTTTCCCCAACGTGTATCACCTTATACTTCTAAGCCATGTTATGGTATGGCTGCTTAGTTTTCTTAAAAGCCTTTGGTGAAGGAATTTGTTGAAAGCCTTTTGTAAATCCAAGATCAATCAGATCACCCTTATCCACGTGTTTTTTGATCCCCTCAAAGACTGCCTTAGGTCTGTGAGGCAGGACTTGCTTTTATGAAAACTTTTTTAACTCTTCCCAGATAAGTCATATTTATCCAGATGTCCACTGTTCCGTATTATAGTTTCCACCTATTTGTTTTGTATAGATAGCAAGCTGACAGGCTTGCTGTTTTCTGAATCTCTCTTTGAACACTTTTGGTAAAAAATGGCACTCTAATCTCAGGTAACAGTTTTGAGTCATCTATTTCAGCCTTGAATTCCTTTAAAGCTGTCTGTGGTCTTGGTGACTACTTAATTTTATTTGGCTCATCTACTGTCACTTGTCCATATATTTTCTTTTGTTACTGTAATAATAAGTTATGATTCTGAACAGTTTCACGATAAGTGGATGTATCTAAAATCTAA